CCTTACCAATCATCTTTATATTTAAAAAAAAAAAAAAATTCCTCTTTTCTGGTTCCTATCCCTTCTTGTAATCTCCAGTAACCATTCAAGGCTCAGTCTACCATGTCTAGGTCCCCACTTCTCCCACATTACATCTTCTCCCTCTGAAAAAAGAAGGGAAATAACTATCAGAATTTCCTCTACTGAGATCCATAAGGACTTTTACAAAGCAGAGTGCTATTAAAAATTTTCTGTGTTTAGGGACAAAATTCAGTAAACACCAAAGAACTGTCAGTGTTTTATACATAATTATTAAGAAATTTCAAAATGAAGAAAACAGAATCAGTAAGGCTTCGTGGAGATAAGCCATGAAGGACATAAAAAGTTTTGATAGACACAAGTTAAGAGGAAAAGCATGCCAAGTGAAATAAAGAGCTAGCATGAAACCAAGTTTCTCAGAAAAACAACAAATATGTGAGGGCAATAAAACAATAAGTCTAACGAGATTTTGATATTAAGAAATTACTGTTAAGTCTATTAAATATGACAATGGTGTTTTTTAAACAGTATTTCACTTCTGGAGAGAAATACTAAAATACGTTCCAAAATAATCCACTGTGTATGTGATGAAGTGGAGAAATAATGGTTGAGGCAAAAATGGCCATGAGTTGTAGCTGGGTAATGTTGAAAGCTGGGTAATGCTACATGGAATCCGTTATACTATTCTGTCTTCTTTTGTATATGTTTCATTAAAAAGAAGCTAAAAGAAAGAAAAAAACAAAATAACAACAACAACAGAAATCCAGTATGTCCAGAATGGAGGAACCTAATGCAGTAAAGTGGAGCAAAGAACTAAAAGATGAATTATGCTTAAGAGTCTATAAGCCACAAATCACATATCTGATAGTGACTGGTATCCTGAATATATAAAGAGCTCTTAAAACCCAATAATAAGGGCCGGCCCGGTGGCGCACTGCTACAGTGCGCCGCTTGGGAGTGCAGCGGCACTCCCGCCAAGGGTTCGGATCCCACATACAGACCAGTTCCCGCTCACTGGCTGAGCGAGGTGCAGGCGCAGCACCGAGGGTTGTGATCCCGTTGCCGGTCTTTATGGCATTTAACTTGCCCTGTTTCCATCCCCCCTCCCCTGTTTGAAAACTAATAATTTTGTAATCCCAGTAGCAGTGAATACTGCAGCTTGGTATACACTGGAAGGGATCAAGCCTCATTCCCAGGAAATTGTCATGATTTGACCTGTCAGTTCCCTGGAAACCCCCTCTCTCAGGTCTTGTCTTTATCTGACCTGACTTGTAACTCATTAATTGCAAAGAACCCTTTCCCCGGGACACTCGTCATCAAGCTTACCAACGTACCCATATGGGAGTCTGAGAAGGAGAGACAGGAAGGAGCAGAAAGAATATTTGAAGAAATAATGGCTAAAACATCCCACATTTGATGAAAGAAGTGAATCTACATCTTTAAGAAGTTCAGTGAACTCCAAGTAGGATAAAATCAATGCAAAGAAATATTATTCAACTGGAATGTATAAAGAACTCTCATAACCCCAATAATAAAAAGATAAATAACCAATTAAAAATGGGCAAAGGATTCGAATAGATTTTTCTCCAACGAAGATACACTAATGGCCAATAAGCACACGTATAGATGCTCAACATCATTAGCACACAGGGAAATACAAATCAAAACCACAATGAGATACCAATTCATATCCACTATAATTTAAAAAGTCAGACAATATCAAGTGTTGAGGAGGATGTAGAGAAATTAGAACCCTTGCACCTTGCTGGTGAAAATATGAAATGGTGCAGCCGTTTTATCAAACAGTTCGGTGATTCTTCAAAAAGTAAAACATACAGTTACTATGTGATCCAGCAATTTCATTCCTACCTAACAGAAATGAAAACATATGTCCACACAAAAACTTGTCCATGAACGTTCATAGCAGCATTATCTGATACATTCTACAATATGGATGAACCTTGTAAACATTACACTAAATGAAAGAAGCCAGACACAAAAGACAATATATTTATATGAAATGTCCAGAATAGATAAATCTATAGAGACAGAAAGTAAATTAGTGGTTGTCAGGGCTGGGGGGGAGGGGTGAAGGGGTAGGAGGTTGGGAGGGAATGAGGAGTGATGCTAACAGGTATGGGGTTCCTTTTCTTGCTAATGGAAATGTTCTAAACTTAGATCATGTTGATAGCTGGTCAACTCTGAACATATAAAACCATTGAACTGTACATTTTAAAGGAACAAATTTTATCTCAATGAAGATTTTTTTAAAAAGTCTAACCTCTTCTATGGAATGTGTCAAAGACAAAAAACAAAAACAAGATAAATCTGTAATAGAACAGTGGTGGTAAGTAGGAATTTTAAGCAAGAAATTAAGGAACAAAAAAGTGTGAAGAATCTCAGTATTAGTTTTTGGATGCTGGAAAGAGGACATCACTGACAATAATTGCTACAATTGCAAAGCAATGTCAGTTCATTAATTTATTGATTATTTCAATATATTTTAACAAATACAAACATCTACTATCTGATTCTCAAGTAGAGGTGACAATTCTGATAGATCTAACACCAAAAATACCCCTATCACATTATCAGCTTACACTAAACCTAGCTGATCTTCTGAACCACATTAGCGTTAAGAATTCTGGGCTCCACCCCAAGGGATTCTGATTCCCGTTAGTTGTGGAGCACAATATGGAATCTAAATGATGATTTGACACATTATATACAATTAGTTTATTTTCCTTTGTTTGTGTGTAAGTTTTATCACCTTTAAGATGTAAACACCACATACTTTTCTTTTTCCCATGGTACCTATAAACATAAAGCAGACATTAATAATTGCAGAACACTTACAAGCCCAAAATAATACCTAAGTTCATCTGAAATAAAACTGGTTACATAAAGTCCACATACTTGGGAAAACATTTTTTGTCACATCTCTGCTTTCTTACACATTCAGAAATCCAGAAATGCAAAGGCTTTTTGTTTTCCAGTTTTTACCTAATAATAATATACTCTCAACAAATGGCTTCTGAAGTCCAATTCACAGTTCCTACTGGCTCTTACCAATCTCCTCCCATCTCAAATTTAGACAAAAGTGAAAAGGCCAAGTGTTAAACCCAATCCCCACTACCAAGATCTTTGCTGAAAGCCAGGTTGTCTCCAAACTCCCCTAAGTATCACACATTGAATCTACCCTTGGGTTACTGAGAAAGTGATAGCTTCGATTTATCACCACAGACAAGACTAATAAGCTAAAAGCAAGCAAGCCCTGTACCTTTGTGCCTCTTGCTTTTTTTTTTTCTGGAGATAGGTCTCTCATGAATGCTTTCCTCCTGGGCATCCATCTCATCGCTGCTGTCTATGATGTCACAGGGCTCACCAGACACAGAAAGGGCTTCCTCTGCAGGAACCTGGGAGGCTTCCAAGCCACAAAGAGATTTTACTAGAAGAAAATAAGAGGAGAATGAGATGGCACACAGTCCCACCCAGAAACACAAACAACTTAGCCAAGAGAGCAGTATCTACCAGGCAAGGGGTGGGGCGGAAGCAGGGTGAGTCTACTAGAGAAAGCTGAAAATCTGTCACCAACTTTTTTTTTTAAAGAAACTTTAGTATTTTAAACACAAAAAATTGGAAAGCAATGGGCAAACTGACTCCAAAGTTGCAGAAATTGACTTCAAAGAAGTGCCAACTTCAAGTGTAGGGGGGTGGGGAAGGAGAAGCAGTGGACTAACGGATACAAAACTATGCTATTTACCCTAAGTGAATCATTGTGCAGTATATGCAAGTATTGAAACTACACACTGTACTCCACAAAAATAAATATAAATTAAAAAAAAAATTTTTTAAGTGCCAACTTCAGCCCTTAAGAAAAAGGAAGTGCACAATTCTCCCACTATAAACCATGCAGGATAAAAACAAAAGGTGAGGGCCGGCCCGTGGCTCACTTGGGAGAGTGTGGTGCTGATAACACCAAGGCCACGGGTTGGGATCCTATATAGGGATGGCCGGTTGGCTCACTGGGTGAGCGTGGTGCTGACAACACCAAGTCAAGGGTTGAGATCCCCTTACCGGTCATCTTTGAAAAAAAAAAAAAAAAAAGGAATTCTCATTTACATAAATTCTGAGGAGCAATGTTTGAGAGAAAACTGAATCCAATTTAACCCTACTCCTAGTCTGGAGACAGTAGGTGTCATAAAAGTCTCAAGGACCCGTGAGTAAAAAGCTTGAAAGCAAAAGAAACACCAGAAAAGGAAAAGATCACTCCAAGGTTATTACACAAGGAAGCAAACGGCACAATAAAATATACGTGAACTACAGGAAAGAGATTCATAACCAAGAAGAAAGCAGAGGAAACTAAAGAGTACGCAGATTTTTTTTTTTTAATGCAAAGACAGAAATAAAGTATTTCTGCCACAGAAACTACTATTCTTGGCGAATCCTCCTTTCCCCGAATAAAAGATTAAATAAACATTGAGAAAAGCAAACACGTTTACGGGAAGATGACCAAAGAATTGCAAGAAAAATAGTGAGACAGAATCCCAGGAAAATAAAACGCTCAGTTTTGCCTTAACGGCCTGACTGTGAAAGGACCCTCCAGTGCCTACCTTCCTGCTGAACGGCGTTGGCGACCGCTTTCTTGACCCGTCCAGACCTCACGACTGCCGGATCCGAGTTGGCATAATCCGCAACAGTCACTGAAACACAGCACCAGCCCTCACGGAAGAGGCCCTCTCTCTTCCGCGTCCTCCCCACCAAGACCTCCTCCTCACTGCAGGCCCCCAGCCCGGGCCGCCGGCCCACCCGCACGGTCCAGCCCCTTCGTGCCGCCAGCCCCAAGTCTGTCAGCGCGCCCGCCCCCTCGCCCACCTCGACCCGAGCAGGCGTCGTGGGCCCGGAACTTGAGTCGCTTCCCTCTCTTGGGCATGGCGACTGTGTCGGGGCGACGCCGGCCTAGCGGGCCGGGGCCCCGGGCCATGTCTCGGGTCGAAGAGCGGGACCCGGGAGCCGCAGAACAGCCCCGCCCGGCTCCGCGGCCATCCCGCACCCGAGACCGCGGCTCTCGCGAGGACTTAAGCCAGGGCTCCGAGGCGCGTTGGCGGCGACGCCCTTCTTCGGGAACCAACCACCGCCAGGTCCAGTGATACGTCATCATCCGGCGCCCGCGGGTCAAGCTGGGTGTGGGTTCCGCAAGGGTAGAGGGCTGTTCTGCCGGGTGGTGTCGATTTTTGCAGTACCGCTTGTGAGGTAATTAGTGCCTCAGGCAAGCAACCCATTCCCGCTTTTATTAGACCTCAGAGCCTACATCTTGGTCTCCCGGATTCTTGCTAACGCCTCGTTACCCCCCAGGCCCACTTCAGCACCTACATGCACATACATCGTCATCTTGGTGCTCCATCTCTTTCAGGCAGTATAATACTGAGCACCTGCTATCCCAACATGGGTCTCTAAGAGTCTTCACTATAATTTCTTTTACGAAAGCTATAAACTCCTGAATTCCCAAAATAGAAGGGGTTCCTAAAAGATTTTCAATCTATCACCACCCCCCAAACAAAATACTAGAAGGATCGACGTGATCTTTCCTTTGTATTGAGAGAGAAGAGTCACTGAGTGAAGGCTACAGAACTGTGGGGGAGCAGACACTGGGCTAGTACCACCAGTGCGAGTAGGAAGTTATTTGACAGTTGATAAGAGCGTGGCGCTGACAACACCAAGGTTTAGGGTTCGATCTCTGTACCGGCCAGACACACACACACACACAATTATGTTCTCATTTATCCTTCTAAATTCCTTGCAGCTTCACACACACACACACACACACACACACACACACACACACACACACACACACACACCCAGGAAGAAAGAAAGTTATTTGGTGTCCTGAATTATGTTCTCATTTATCCTTCTAAATTCCTTGCAGCTTCTACTGTGTGATAATCCCTGGCTTGAGAAACAGTACTTAGGGCCTAGGCATCTAATCTGCTGGGTCCACCAGAGAGTGTCATCCTAAAATATTGAGAAGGGGACTCCTATTTTTAATCTAATTAGTTACTACCTATAAGTTCATTAGGAGCAAACCACTGGTCTTTTACTAACGTTATGTAACAGGCTACCACCAGGGGTCGTGCTAGTAGGCTTGAGTCAGGAATTATAATTGAAGCTGAATACAATTGTGAAATATTCTAATTTAATTTATCTAAAGTTAAAACACGAAACAAGCATCTAATAGACTGTTAACTGAAAGAAAATTATTTCAAATAATTTTTCCATGTATACATAATTTATGTTTGTAGTCAAGTTCAAAATGCAGATGGTAAGCACTAAGCCTTCTCACTTCACAATGTTATCAATAAAAAATTCATGAGGCCTGAATGCATGTAGATTTCTGCTCATATGGCACCCTGTTGAAAACACTCAGGCAATTTGGACTCTGGAGGAAAGCAAAGATGCAAGAGACATAAACCCTATCAATTACATTGCCACTATCAAAAACTTAAATAGTATAATTACTATTTTAACCCATTGGGATGAAAGAAATGCTAGTTCCCAAAACTGTTAATTTATCTTTCAAATTTTCAAAACTGAGAAGATCTTAAGCAAGGCCTCTCTGACTCTTAAGTCCTTTGGCCACTTTTATACAAAAGCAACAACTTTTAATCAATGACAATTTCCAGACCCAAAGACACAGGTTCTTTCTAGAAAGACAAGTTGTAAAAGTTACTAAAATTGCTATTATATTTAAATACAGTGGTTTAATGTAACTATTAGGGAGGAAGTGGAAGGAAAATGTTATTCTAAAATCTTTAACCTCAGCAAAGTGGGAAATTTAAGGACAATGTATGAAAACATGTAGTATTAGGATGCTATCTTTCTAGATTCTGTCCACCCTACTTTTTTGGTATTAAATTTTTATTTATTTTGTGCTAATAGTAATTGATGGTGAAGGAGTTGCTTTTTAAGGTTCTTTCTTATCAAAATATAAAGGTGGCAAGTCTATGTTGGTTGCCAGAGTCTTCTTTTAAATCTTAATAGCCTGTGAAATTCTAAAGCCTTGGAACCATTGCTTGGAGGCATTGGAAAATTATTCCTTTTGATTTAAAGAAATACATGACAGTGGAATTTTCTATTGGACATAGTGTAGTATAATAAAGCAATATTTTAAAAGTAGTAAAGAGCACAGATTGTGAAGTCCTGATACTGAGCAGGTTCCCTTCCTCTATTCATTTTTTTAAAAGTAAAGAGCTTCAGCTGGGCCTCTCCCCTAAAAGATGGGGTGATCTGGAGTCTGGGAATTAGGCTAATTGGGAAGTTGGGATTTACAATTGAACAATTCAAACAGAGAGTATAGAGGAGGCAGCTGCATAGAACAGAATGGACAGCTGGGATTCATAATCCAGGACCTAACTTTTCTAGCTCTTGGAATGTGATGATTAAATGTGGGTTGTCTTTGTTTCACCTGGATCTGTCATATAAGTAACCAAAGATCCCAGACTGATTGATGTCAGAAGATTGATAAGCAGAGTTCCAGAGCTGTTTGTTTCACCTGGAGCAACCAACCAGGAGCATCCATTTGGCTGCTCACTGTTTCAAACCCCACCCACTAAGGCTCCCTTTGAAAATCTCTTGGCATGTAAGACGGGGAAAGCTCCAGTCTTATTTTTCAGCCTTAGCTGCCTGGTCTCTAATTTCTTGGCCTTGGAATCGAATGTCTTATTTCCTCCACTGCAACCCTATGTCGGTGTATTTATTTATTTATTTTGAGGTTTGGCTGTGAGACTGAGAGGACCCAGAGTTCAGCTCTGCAATAGTCACATGCCTGGGTTCAAAACCTGTCTCTTCCACTTATTTATGTGACCTTTGAAAAATTACTTAATGTCTCTGGGCCTGTTTCCTTGCCTATAAATTACAGATAACATCTGCTTCAGAGTTATTGAAATAATTAAATTCATTAACTTATAAAAGACATTTAAAGTAGCAATAGTAAAGCACTCAAACATAAGCTATTATGGTGGTATAAAGTTGGTTGTTTAAAGATAACTTAGGTGACTAATTCCTTTTGCTTCTACTGCATGAAGAGAGAATACATAAGTCAGTAGAGAGCCCATTCCCGTTGATTAAAATGCTAGAAGCCTAGCTAATATTTACTAAGTACTTAGCATTGCAAGTGGCTGAGCCAGAATTCAAGCTGAAGACTGTCTTCAAAGACCACATATGAAACCACTATACATACAGCCTCTAAAATGGAGAAAAATCATACTAAACCTTTGCTTTTGATTAAAATTAATAGTCTAAGCAGATATGTTAAACAGTGGCTAAATGGAGAAAATCTGTAACAAGACAAACTGAAAGGGTACTTAATGAATTTCTTTGTGCCAAATGGGTGGTCAAGGTCTGAGAAACAATTTAAGAATTCAGTGACACTAGAAGAAGTACATTAATTAAATATGGGGGAAACTGCTTGTAACTATATGCCTCGTTTAAAACATAGTATAGGCAAAAAAAGCTTATATAGTTAAGTTCAGATAGAGGCTGAGACTTTTTTAGTTAAAAATAAGAGTAGCCTAGTGATGAGCTCAGGTTCTAGAGGCAGATGGTTCTTCCTCTTAACAGCTACATGACCTTGAGCAAATTACTTAAATCTCACCAAAATTCAGTTTCCGTATCCATAAAATGGACATAATGTTACCTAATTTGTAGGCTTGTGAGGATTAACTGAGATGATATATAGAAAACTCAGCACCTGTTACAGAGTAAGCATTCAAACATTAGCCACTCTTACAACTAGAAGCATATTCAATTAAATCAGTTTTTCTCAACCTTGACTGGACAAAAGACTCCCTGGGGGAATTTTATGAAGTACCAGTGACCTGGCCCCACACTCAAAGTTTTTTATTCAACCAGTTGGAGGTGAGGCCTGGGCATCCACATTTTAAAAAAAAACAAACCAATAACTTTAATGTTCAGCCCTATAAAGCAAGACAAATCATAACTAAAGCCAAAATGTTTCATCATTTTAGTTATACTATTCCATTTATATTGTCAGAACTAGGGCTCAGACCCTCCAAACCCATAGTACTGACTGGGTCCCCAGACCCCTCACACGCAGGTCCATGCTAGGTAATTGGGATAGACTCCAGGAGCTGTTGGCAGATGACACGAGCTCAGTCCTCAGCTTCCTCAGCAGCAGCAGCTTACAGGTCTGGTAGCTTACAGGTCCGGCAGTGGCAGTGGCCTTGCAGAGGGTCCCGGGGGCACTAGCAGCAGCAGCCTCCAGCAGCACTAGTGGTCTCCCCATCCCCACCCCCCAGGGCTGCATCCCGGGGATGGGAGGCGCCGTGGATCAGAGCCACTCATCCTTATACTTAAGTCCATAACCCAGGACGCCTGGGTGCACATGCGCAATCACACTAGAGGATAACCAAGGGACACCTGAGTGCATGTGCCTGTTTACATCAAATGCTTGGCAAGATGCTGAACATCTGAGGGGCCCTGACCATTTTTCCTATATTTTCCCAACCAGCCCAAATATTGAGAACCACAGGTTTAGATCAAGGGGCAGCGAACCAGGGGTGCAAGCCAAATCTGACCCTTACCTATTTTTTGTAAATGAAGTTTTACTAGAACACAGACGTGCCAATATGCTTATGTATTATCTGTACTTTCTTTTTTAAATACCTGATAATTAATTTATTAAAATTGATGAATTAGCAGTGGTGTCTTCAACCTTGACACCTGCCTGGCTCAATACTGATGGGAGTAATCCGCTTTTAACAATCTCGGGAGAACTGTGCAAGATCAGTGAGTCGCTCCTGGATTCTCGTATGGATTCATCCTGGATTCTCCCACGTCTTAGAACCTTCAGCACGAAGTTGTTCTCGCAGTGATTCTCAGAATGTTGACAGGGGTCTGAACGGGTTCTTTCACTGTGGGATTCTTTTCCTTTGCGTCTCTGATCAGGTCAGCAGCACACGTCTTCGCCTGGGGTTGCGGCTGGTTGGGATAATTCTGCTTTGGTGAATCGCCACCTCTGGTCCCAAGGGTGCCTTTCCTTTTTGTAAAAGCCCAGTCTGTGGCGCTGCTTCCTCGGGGACAGCGAACGACCCCGAGTCAGGAGCTGGAGTGGGCGGACCAGAGTCC